CATATGCCTGTCTTTTGTTTGGCTGGAAGCCACACGTATGGGTTCAATTTCAGACCTGAAGGGCAGCTAGGGGCCATAGTTTCAATGGTTCCACCAGGCTTTATCAGACCAGCAAACCTGGCCCCCCTTTTTTGTTTCCAAATGATTTTGAGTTTTGTTTCACATCGTTCTCCCTCTCTATGCAGGATTTCCTACATAGATCCCCCCTCCCAGTGATTAACAGTGGTAGCTGGGAACCATCTAGTTCTTCTGGTCTCATAGTCATATAGGCTATGGATCGCATGGTGTACCAGTCACGAGGACTAATTCTTTCCATGAATCTTTGGTTTTCTTCATTCATCTTTGCTCTAGATGAGGAGAGACCCATCGTTGCATCTAGATGGCTGCTTGCAAGCTTTTAAGGTCCCAGTCACTACTCGCCAAAGTAGGAGGTAGAACAATGTTTTGTCTAGTATGTTATGCCAGTTGAGCTTGATGTCCCCTGAGACCATGGTCCTAAGCCCACAGGTGACCAAGAAGTGACTACAACCTTGTCCCTTGAAAGGACCTGTATTTCTGAGATAACCTGTCTGCAGGGATTCCATGTATCTGTGTTATCTGTCTACTTTTATGTAAAAGTCTGGTCTGTACATTTCAGCATTTCTCTCTTTAAATTTATTGTGATTTGGGTGAAGTTTACAAGCAAATTCATTTTCCATACACCATTTCATACACATTTCATTCCATGACATTGACTGCAATTCCCCACAATGTCAACATTTCTCTTGAAAACAGAGAGCCAGGAACTCCGAAAGCAATGACCTCTCTGACTGTTCTCATGCTAACCAAGCAACAGCCAAACGGAACAGTAGGGAATGCCTCTTGCCACGTTTCAGCAGTGACTTGGCATGCATCATTTCTCCAGGGTGCTTTCTATGAGTGAGTGTGGGTCCAGGCAGCAGCTTAGAGGACAGTAGTAGGGTTCCCTCCACTGAGGACAGAGACTAGACCCAGCCAGACCAATCATCTAGGGTTAGCCTTCAGTTAGAGCTGAGAGGGGATGGACCCGACTCTCAGCTGGAATCCAATGAATTCTGAGAATCGCCAGGGTGGGTGAGTCCCTGAACTCCTCCTCTGGGTTCCTGTTCTTCCTTTGTGGGTTGATTGGTGCTGAAGTCACTGTGGAATAGTGGTGGGAGCCCAGAGTTTGGAGCCAGGACCTAAAGTCTAATCTTGCTTCTGATGTTTGTTGCTGGATGACTTTGGGAAAGTCTTAAAACCTCTCTGGGCCTCATTTTCCTGACAGCTAAATGAAAGTTCCCCATGGTCCCTTCCAGCATTCAAGTTTCAGTTGTTTCCACACTCAAACTCATGTCAACCTGTGTTGCTTTCATAACATCACACATCCTTCACCCATAAATGTCTGAAGCTGTCTTGATACTCCAGCTCTGAGAAGGGCCTGTCCCATAACTCTGTCCTGTGGAACTTACCAGCAAGACACCACTCTGCCTGCCAGCAGACCCTGAAGGTGAAGGACAGAGAAGTCTGGAGTGGAGGGTCTCTTCTGGATCATCCACAATATCACAAATGAAGAGAAATGGCATAAACAGCGAGGCTTCTAAAGTCCTCCACATACCCATTTAAAATTAGATTTGGGAAATGGCTTTGATGATAATAATTCCATGAGCAAATCGGGCATTTGAACCTCGGTTTGTGTTACGTTGTCAAATATAGACACCAAGTCTAAACCAAACTTTGCTTACAAAAATGAGTACATTCAGTATAATCTCCTAAAATGAAATTTTATTTTGGAATTTCAACATTGGAGGTTTTTAAAAATAGATCCCATTTATCATGTGGTTATTTTTGGGGGTATGTGAGACTAAGGAAGCAAAAGTCCTTTCTTGGAAAGGACTCTCCTTTGTTTTGGAATATGTCCTTTCTTCCTGCAGTCTTCGTTTTAGAACAGCCTTTCTTTCGTAAATTGATAGATGAGTTGGATTTTTTTAAATGTCCTTCTTTGGTAAAATAAATGCCACAGTTGAATCCTAATTAAAAATAAATAAATAAAAACAAAACAAAACCTTTCTCTATGAAATTCCAGAATCTCAGTGTCCCCTGAGTAAGTATCAAGGTGGGCTTTCCAGTTCTCATTTTATGTTCAAAGAAACAGAAGCTCAGAGAGGTTTGGTAATAGGACTGACACCACACAGCTGGAGAAAGCCAGAGCTGGGATTTGATGTGGCTCTTCTAGCCTGGAAGCCTATGCTGGCATAATTACCAATCACCACGGCCCTGTCCTCATGAAGAAGAATAAGCCCCAGTGCCCAGCTTGCAAGGAACCCCCTACCCACTCCAAAGTTTAAGGAGATGAGCTCAAGAGAAGAAAAACTTTCTGTTTACTAATCTTCGCCTTCTCTCTCTGAGAGAACACAGCTAACTTTCAATTTC